GCAGTACTTTTTAAAAAGGCTGTGAAAGTCCAGCCAGCAACTTCAGAACAGTGTCCTGGAGGTAGCAGATGCAAAGTGCCAAGCCTTGTGGGTTCATGGCCAGCGGCATGGCCTGGGGCACCTCATGCGGCCAGCGTCCTTGCTACCTGCTGCTGGGCCCTGAGGGGTTGCTGTGGCCATCGAGTGAGACGCAGAGCACCCGGCAGGGACACGGATGGGTGGCGCCACTCAGATGCCGGGGCCCTCCCAGTCAGCACCAACTGCTGCTGCTACAGGTGGCCGCACCTGAACACAGACCCAGGTTCTTTGATCATCTGAATGACTAGGGGAAGTAGGCCCTGACTGGAAGCATTTGGAGACCATCAGCTACACACAGGAGCCCTCCGTTACCCCTCAGGAGCCGGGAGAGGATGGCTAGATCAGGAGGGGGTCACCTTGTTGTCTCTTCAGCTAAAAGCAATGAGGCTCTGGGCTCTGCTTTATTTATTTATTTATTTTTGAGGCGGAGTTTCACTCTGTCGCCTAGGCTGGAGTGCAGTGGCGCAACCGCAGCTCACTGCAACCTCCATCTCCTGGGTTCAAGCCATTATCCCGCCCTCAGCCTCACAAGTAGCTGGGATTACAGCCATGCGCTACCATGCCCAATTAGTTTTTGTATTTTTAGTAGAAATGGGGTTTCACCATGGTGGCCAGGCTGGTCTTGAACTCCTGACCTCAGGTGATCCACCTGCCTCAGCCTCCCAAAGTGCTGGGATTACACTGCACTCCGCTGGGCTCAGCGTGGCCTCTGCTTCTTAGCCTGGAGATGGCATGTCTGGCCCCCTCCCTCAAAGAGGCCACGGCTGGGCAGGGCAGAGGCCCCACACGCTCCCAACAAGGCAGCCTCCCCGCCATCCTCAGCTGGACTGAAAAGAACCCCCCAAGGTCCTCATGCTACTGACAAGTCTCCCCCGAATGGTCCCCACCCCTGTGCACCCTCACAGACCCCTCGGTCCTCCAGCACAGGGGCCATCAGTACCCAGCCCCCAAGGCCGCCATCGCAGCTGCCGTTCCCAGCCCTGAGATCACACTTCACCTCCCAGGCTGCCAACCCCAGTCTGATCCCATCCCCAGAGTCACCCCCTGCGGATTCCGGAACCCGCTGCCTGTCTCCCACCCGCCACACCCTCCACTTGTCCTTCATTCTCCTTCCTGCTCTAACGGGCTCCTGGGTCTCCTGGAAGACACTGCTTCCCCTGCAGCCCTTGGGGTGGGGCTGCTTTCTCTCCCACCCACCATACTCCCCGCTGGAGGGGGCCTCCTCCCTAAAACCCCGAGCTCTTCCCAGGCCTGGTAATCACAGTTACGGCCACACCTTGTGCAGTCACCTCCAGTCCTCCTGGTCACCACCCCCATCCCTTGGAGACCCAGGCTCCTAGTCCATGGTTGCAGGTGAAGACAATGATCAAATAGATGAAAACCCCAACTCCATGACCACTGGTGACCCTGTCCTCTACTCCATCTCGGTCCATCCCCAGGAGTCCCCAAGCCTCGTCACCCCTCGCATTATCTCCATGGCAAGCGCTTACTCCCTGACCACTACCCCTTCTCCTCCCAGCTCTCTTCCCTAGTGCCTGACTCCAACCTGCCCCATGGGACTGCCACCCACCCCCACCTCCTCCCTGTCCCTGCTGCCCTCTCTCTTGCCATTGCAAGCTCCCAACTCTGGTCCCTCCCAACCCTCTGCCTTCTCTATACCTAGCCCAGGCAGCTGACCGTGGACGGAGAGACCCACCGACCACACACACTGACTGGTCGCCCCTGAGGTTCACAGCCACCATCCTGCAGAGGTCCCAAGGTTGCCAGCAAGCCCAGCATACTTCCACCTAAACTCCGCTTCCACCTGCTCCTCCTGTCCCAGACGACGAGCTATGCCACGCCCATCCACACCACACATCACCCGCAACAGGGGCAGGAGGTAGCTAAGCATGGGCTCTCGAGTCCTGGGCCCGTGTTCAAATCCTCCCACCAGCAGTGCCTACCAGCTGCAAGCCTGACGTTGCTGTGTGTAAATGTCACTAAATATTTCTGCCTTTGTTTTTAAAAAATTTAGATTAAATGCACATTATTGCTTTGACAGAAGCGTGTAACTGTGATCCTAACACACCTACTCCTCCCCCTTTTACTGCCGTCTGCTTCCCTCTGTTCTCTGGCTCCCTCGACACCCACTCGACTGCGGAATCGACGCTGACAGCATGACGTGTGTCCTTCCACGTTTCCCTGCTCATGCATTTGCATGTAAGCCACTGCACATGTCACCGTAGGCACACACGGAGGCTCTGAGGTCCATGTTTTACAAGATTACATTATAGACCCTTTTCTGCAATAGTTTTTCCCAGGTCACCTCCCAGGCCCCATGGGGTAGCTCTGGGTCAGTCCTTTTTTTTTTTTTCAGCAGGTGAGTTGATACACACTCCTCAGCCACCGTCCTGCTTCTGGGTCAGTCTTTTTAAAGGCCACCTAATAGACCACGGAATGAATGAACCATACTGTATTCAGCCACCACACTCCTGATGGGCTCCCACTTTGCTCCCACTTTTGCCACTACAGGCATGCCACGGAACTGCACCAAGCCTTTGTTTCCATATCTGTGAAATGGAGCTAACACTCTTGCCTACTTCAAAACGTTCCTGGGGAAAGGAATTGATACTGTGTGTAAAGCACTCTGCACAGTTTCTGATGCATGGTAAGTCCTCGAAGGTTAGCTATTTCCTTCCCATTCTGTAAGATACATCTTATTATACCCATTTAAAGGTGGACAAACTGAGGCTCCAACAGTAGCACTGGGTTCCTCACTGTCACCACTCAGCTTTACATGGCAATGCTAGGGAACGAGCCCAGGTGACCTGTGAGAAACGAGCGCTCCATCCACCCTGCTGCAACTATCCTGGTGGCTAACAGGGGGCCTGGCACGTGATCAGTGCATCACATGTATGTCATGAGCAGGAGAATACACAATGATCAAGTTTAGCGCCCAAACTGCTTTTCTGGGCTGGGCACAGCAGATCCCAGAACTTTAGGAGATTGAGGCAGGAGGATCACTTGAGGTAAGGAGTTCAAGACCAGCGTAGCCACCAAGGTACAACCTCATCACTACTAAAAATACAAAAATTAGCCAGGCGTGGTGGCACATGCCTGTAATCTCAGCTACTTGAGAGGCTGAGGCCGGAGAATCGCTTGAACCTGGGAGGTGGAGGCTGCGGTGAGCCAAGATCACGCCATTGCACTCCAGCCTTGGTGACAGAGCAAGACTCCCTCTCAAAAAAAAAGTAGTAATAAAATGTGCTCGCTTCGGCAGCACATATACTAAAATTGGAACGATACAGAGAAGATTAGCATGGCCCCTGTGCAAGGATGACACGCAAATTCGTGAAGCGTTCCATATTTTCTTCCGTTTCCTAATGTCCAAGATTGGGGAAACTGATGCTCGTCTAACAGAAGTCACTGATCCCGTTACGGCCTGTTCCTACATCCAACCCCATTTCCATCCATGCCTCCAAAAAAA